CAGACTGCCCCCCCACCAGATAATGCCATTACCCATAGGAACACAAGTTCTGTTTGTGATTACAGGAATGTAGAGCATGGGCAGGTCACAAGGTCTAGACCCTCTGAAAGGCCCCAGTTAGAGATGGGGCTGAGGAAGGCATCTGAGGCAGAAGGAGCCTTAGTCTGACTGCACAATCTGTGTCCGTGACCATTCGGGACCTCAAACCCCTACAGCTTTTCATGGACTCATTCCCCTCATAGGACACTCTGTGCTCATGAGCTGGTAAACATCAGCTTTGGGATTGTCAGGCAGGTAGACTAATGATGAAAGTTCTAGCTTCAGAGGAGGGATGGCCACTGGCTGACATAAGGGGCCCTGGAAACTACTTTTAGAATGTCATTTTCCATCCTAAAGCTAACCTGCTACCAGCAGTCCTCCCCTGGTCCTTGTCCATGAAAGTGTCATTGATGAGAAGAGTTCTGGAAATGGACCTGAAGCCCTGTGTTCCAGCACCAGGTCTGCCACTCGTGCTGTGTGACTCAGATCTCTGTAGGTGTCAGGGGAGGGTCTTCATCACCCTGGTCACACTGTGGTTGGCAACGGGCATTTCCCTGGCTTGCTCAGGGCTCAGCCTGGCTTCCCTTTGGGAGAGGATCTTTATTTCTGATGATCCGCATGAGTTGGAGCATCAGAGATTTGGGCCAAAAATGGAGATATTTCTGTTCTTCAGACCATAGGGGATATCCTTTCTTGGGGTTCCTCTCTCTTCTCCATCTGCCTTCATACCCAGTCAACTCAGCACCCATTGCCAGAATCACTGAGAAAATCATACTGATAACGTTATTGCCCTGGTCAGAAACCATCAGTGTCTCCCCACCATCCACCAAAGACAAGGGAGAAAAGGAGGATGGAATTCCAGAAGTTAGGAAAGGTGGTGGGAAAGGCCCTGAGCCAGGGGCTGAAATCCTTGAGCCAGATGGATGAGGCAGTGGTCATTAATGGATAAGCTGAATGCATCAGAGGAAAGATGTTTTAAAGACAGTTGGAGAGAATGAGAATGAGCTGTGGTAGAAGAGCAAGGGTCCACAAACTCCAGCATCCTGGGGACATTCATGCAGGTGGAAGAGAAGAGGATGGAGGTTCTCTCAGAGCTCAAATGGGATATGAGGAAAGTTAAAGAGAGGCTGAGGAGGGAGAGAAACTTGTCTGCCAAGGAATGGGAAGTCCTGGTCTCTCAGAGAGCCTCTAGAAAGGGGTCAAATTGGAAGTTCCTGAGGGCTTTGTCAGAGGAGACCCAAAGAGGGAGAGCATGAGGAAGCAGGTGGTCCTTTCTGGGTGGAGTGGTAAAAAATACCTGGGATGTGAGTGGGTACCCCCAGAAGGTGAGACAAGAGAATGAGAGAGGCCGGGGAAAGAAGGGGCTAAGTAGATATTGAGAGGATGATAGGAAGGAAGGAAGGAAGGAAGGAAGGAAGGAAGGAAGGAAAGAAGGAAGGAAGGAAGGAAGGAAGGAAGGAAGGAAGGAAGGAAGGAAGGAATAAGGGGGAGATTTACTGAGCCCTGTCCACCAGGATCCTAGAGGAAGATTCAGAAAGGATCTCTTGGGTCTGTCACACCTGTGCCCCACTGCCAACCCCAACTGTAAAGGTACCTGGTACCACCCAGGCAGAGCCATGTCCTTCTGGCCAGACAATAATTCAATGCAGATCAGCCCCATAGGACCCCTGGGCCTCAAGTGCCAGGGAAATGGAGGTCTTACCTGGCCACACTCTGAGGGCCCTGCATCCAATCCTCCCAACCCAGCCATGCTGGTAGAGCTGTGGGGGCTGGGTTACCCATCCCACACACATGGTAGCATACCTGGCCTTGTTGCCATCACCCAGGATGTGGAGGCTGCAGCTGCAATGAGAGGGGCAAGAGCTCCAGGCCTGGGGGGGTCCCCTGAGGGCCAGGAGCCAGAGCATGCCCAATGCCACCCTCATGGCTCCTGGTGGCTCTGTAGCCCAGGCAGAGGCCTGTCCCTGGACTGCTCTGTCCTTCCTGCCAAGCAAGCCCAGCAACAGTCCACTGGATCCTCAGGTCCCACACGCACACCTCAGATAAACATGATCAAGCTGGGGATTAAGGAAGGAAGCTCCAGCCAGAGCACTCAGCGGCTTATTGCTCCCTGGAATCATCTAGTCCTGAGAGTAGGGGTGGGGAGATCCCCTTCTGTAAAATAGTTGAAGGCCCTGAGAGGCCACGGCCTGGCAAGGTGGGGCAGGCAGGTGGGCAGCCATCCGGGGGCAAGTAGCTGCTGGATCAGCTGTCTGGGCTGCCCACCTGCAAAGCCATCCCAAGCCAACCAGGCTGTGGGCAGCAGAAACCCACCAGGGTACATGGGTTTAGAGGAGATGAAGACAGAACCTGACCTCTGATAAGGGTTATTGGAAATTATTTTCTGTGATACTATTTCATAGTGAAAAAGCAATGAGGTGAACGCAGTGAAGGTACTGGAAAGAGCCCAAACTCCAGGGCCATGCTGCCTGTGTTTAAATTCCAGCTCCTCTATTTATGGGGTATGTGACTTTTGATATGTCACATGATTCCTCTGGCCTCTGTGTCCTCATCTGTCAAAATGAAGTAATGTTTACTCAGGGTGTTTATGAAAATTAAGCAACCCAAATTTCCCAGACCTCAACAGCCTGTGAAAACAGAAGTTCTCTCATGAGCAGTAAGGACCCAATTTTGCTGGCACTTAAAAGTACCTGCTTATGTAGGAATTGGGAAAATACAGATATTTTGGATAGACTTCAGAGGTATCTCCCATGGGCTCATGGGCTCCCTCTCAGCCTGCCGGGTGAGCAGCTGCCTCCCCAAATGCACTGTGGACAACCAGTCTCCACACACTGCTGTCTGAGTGGAGCCCTTCTGGCCATTGCCACCAATGTCAAAGGCATGAGGTGTCCCCATGTGAGGGCAGGGAGTGTCCCTCTCCTCAAGTCATCATACTCTGAGGAGGGTCCCACAGCAGATCTCACAGAGTTTTTGAAAGTACTTTCCATTTTTACAGATTGTCCCCTACCCTCAACCTCATCCTATCATAGGCATCACCTTTCACTCATTCATTCTTCACATTTTACCCCAAGACTTTTCCAGAAGTTTCCTTTGGCTTTTCCAGAAGGTTCTTCATTCCCTCATGCCCATGAGCCTAGGCAGGTCTAGACCAGTGAAATGTGACCAAAGCAGGTACCTGGGGCCCAGCGCACACATGAAAAATCTGGCTTTGTGCCAGGCCTGTTTGACAACATTGCTTTCCAGGAAACTTAGTTCCCTTCCTTTCCTCTCTCCCATTCCGGACAATATAATTTTCCTGTGCTTCCCACTTCTACCTCATTTTCCCCAAACAAAGGCTAGCCTGGCCCATTCCCACATCTCTGCCCTTCCCTCCTCCTTCTGGGGCTGCCATCCTGTCCATCTTACCTAGCTGTCCTCCACCTTGATTCCCAGCCCTGTCCTGCTTTCATTTCTGCCTTAAAGTCTTTTGCAGTCTTGCAGGGATAAAAAAAAAAAAAAGAAAGAAAAGAAAAGAAAAAGAAAGGAAGGAAGGTAGGAAGAAAGGAAAGAAGGAAGGAAAGGAAGGAAGGAAGGAAGGGAGGGAGGGGGGAAGGGAGGGAGGGGGGAAGGGAGGGGGGAAGGAGGGAAGGAAAGGAAGAAAAAAGAAAACCTGACATACGCATTAACTGTAATGCAAGACAGAAACTGGAAAATGGCAGAAAAAACCCTGTTGTAACTGGGTTAACAAGGAAGGCTTCCAGGAATATGTGAGTGTCAGCTCAGCCTTGAGGGGTACTTAGGCTTCGACATAAGCAGGAATCACAAGAAGAAAGGCATGGAAATGAACGTTCACAAAATAAAATTAGCTACTTGACCAGGAGCCCCCCTGCCCCCAGGGATTTGCAGATGGAGCTTTTGTGAATTACTGTGTGGCCTCAGTTTGCTCATGTGAAATGGAGAGGAGTTGCAGGAATCATTGTAAGGTTGGTTAGCACAGTACATGGCCCTTAGTGAGCACTCAATAAACATTGGCTATATTGCTGATAGCGTTCTGAGCTTTGGTGTCTTTATTTGAAAATGAGTTAAGTTGTCCTAGTTAGTGTTTCCTGATGCAAATTTCACCATGGGCCATTGTGTAACTTGTACCAGGACCTCATTTGTAGAAGCCAAAGCCCTTAGTGGGTTGTAGACCACTTACAAGAGAGCAGCAGACCCTTTGCTCCAAGCCAGTGACTTGGGAGACTTTGATGCTTGTGTAGCTGAAGTGCTCTGTGGGAGTCAGGAAGTGCAGACCCAAAGGCTATACCCATGATATATTCTTCTAACCAAGATGTACACAGTCCATGCAAAAAGATGCTTACATTGCAAAGGAGGAAGCAGGGACTCCTGTGGTCCCACTCCAGGGAACATAGCTAGTTAACAGCAGATTCAGAACCAGAACTCAAGTGTTTAGTTCTAGTTGGAGTTCTTTCTATAACAGCAGCTGACTTCCCAGCCATCATCCTTCCCTCCTTGCTTGTGAGGACATGCATGCAAGCGTGTGGACACATATATATGTGCATACACATGTACATAAGCACTCAGCTTGTCAGCACCTACAAACATGTTGGGAACTGGCTTCTAATCAGTTCTCAGGTACAGCTGCAACATCAAATCCCTCCTTCTGCTCCCCATCCCTCCCTTAGTTATGCAACTCTCCTAAATCAGCTCTCAGCCACACACCATTTGGATTCTGGGTCATTAATCCTGCCTAGTGGGGCTGAAATGAATGAGACATGGCTCCATTCTGGCTTCACAAAGGTTGTACTGTCCAGCTGGTGAATGGGTTCCTTCTGCTCGGGCCAAGAGGGTGATTTGGGAGGAGGGGCAGCAAGAAGGAGCCTAAGATCTAGCATAATCACCTGCATGTGCCAGCATGTGAGATGGCCCTTTAAAAGGGAGGAGCCTGGCTTTGGGAAGCCAGAGAAGAGCTGGGACAGCTGGAAGGAAGGCAAGGATGGCAGAGTCCAGGTCCTTGCCCACAGGGTTTCGAGAACTGGAGGTGCTGGCTGTGGGGATGGTGCTGCTAGTGGAAGGTGAGCCAGGCAGGACCTGGGGTGTAGTGGGGAACTAGCAGACTCTCAGAACCTGAGCCACAGCTATGAAACTTACAAGGAGAGGTCTCCAAACTCAACCCCCCTGTGACTGGATCCATGGGGGCTTTGATGGCTGTACCTGTGAGACACAACCTGCAGGCTGGGAGCCAAGATAGAGAAGCCAGGCAAGGGTAAGGGAGAGAGCGACTTTGAGAGGGGGACATCTACCCAGAGCATGACCAAAAACCAGGGTTCAGGCCTTTGAATTATCCTTTCCATAAGGAGAAAGTTTCATCCACTCTCTGGAAATTCTGCTAAGAATTTTGTATAAAATCAGGCCCCTGATAGGCTCCAGAGACAGTTTAGCCATCTGTATGACTATAACCAAGTCACTCAAGCTTTCTGGCCCTCGGTACCCTGATGTTCCATGTGAGTGATGATGAAGGTCAGATAGGATCATGGGTATAAAGTGCTAGCTGAGATAGATACCCAATGATTTCAGTTAATTTAAGTTCATTTTAAATTAATTTACTCCCAGCCTCTCCAGCACCCCCATTAATGCCACTATATCCATTCTCTCAGCCCTAAGCACTTCCATTCTAAGGGTGACCTGGGTCCATGAGGTGCCAGCCTCAACCCAGAATCCGTAAGATGTTCGCTGAGGCCAGAGCTGGGACTGTATACCCAGGAGCTAGGTCACCCCAAGACTAAGTTGTTGGGAATGCAGCCCTTGTTCAGAGCAGATCCAGAGAAATAATCTGCACAATTTCTCACCCCGTAAGAACTGACAGAAGAGAGAGCAGCAGCACAAGGCTGGTCCTGGTGGCCCTGGCCTCTTTTCCTCTCTATAATCTAACATCCCTCTATGTCCTCAAACAGAATTTTACCACTGTATTTCTTTGCACATGCTGTTTCTGTTTCTAGAATGCTCTTTCTGCATCTTGTCTTCCTACTAAATGCTCACAGTTTCAAAGACAGGATGCTTCCCCGTTCCTCATTTTATTTTTTAATTGTTTTTTATTGTTGTTTAATTACAGTTGTCCCTACTCCCCCCCCCCCCCCGCCATTACTCACTTTAGATGGGAGAAGCCAAGGCTCAGAGACTGTAAGTGGTAACCAAGCTGAAATTCAAAGTTGGATCTTTCTGCCACCTGAGACCACCCCCTTCAAAGCTCACCTCTCTGCCCGGTGTCCTGGATACCTCACCACTCTTAAAACATCTCCTCCTCCTCAAGGGTCTCCCTTATGTTGCTCCACAACACTTAGAGAAGGCATTCTGGAATTTGAAAGACCTGAATTCGATTCCCAGTCCCATCACTTACGAGTTGTATGCTTAGGGCAAGTTAGGTAGGGTCTCTGAGCCTCAGTCTCCCAAATGTAAATTGGGAGAACAGCATACATCTGAAGATTGAATGAGAGGATTTTTGTAAAGTGCTGAGCACCATGCTGCATGTGATTAAATGCTTGGAGGCCATTCATGATTACAAATGTTCTAGCATAAACTGTGCTGTGTTTATGGGCTTTCCGCCTTGTCTGTCTTCTCCTTAGGCTGCTGTAGTAGAAAGCAGGGTGTGTGTCTTACAGCTTTCAGTCTCTGAGGCCCAGCTCTGCTTGTAGGTGTTTGATGAGCTGCACTCAGAAGCTTGCTAAATGTGAAGGATTAAGGATAGGAGGTTGTCCAGTCTCTGTTCACCCCGATCTCCTGGTTCTGACCCTGGGTGGGCCTCACAAACCCACTATGGCAGTTTCTACCTTCTTTTCAGCTCTCACTGGTCTCAGCCTCAATAGCCTGACCATCCTCTCTTTCTGCAAGAACCCGGAGCTTCGGACCCCTAGCCACCTGCTGGTGCTGAGCTTGGCTTTTGCAGACAGTGGGATCAGCCTGAATGCCCTCGTTGCAGCCACATCCAGCCTCCTTTGGTAACATCCCCCCTACCCCCCACCAGTCCCTGGCCTCTGGGGTCCTGCCTAGGGCCTGATCTCTGGGCACTGAGCAACAAGGCCAGAAGCATTCTTCCTAATAACTGAAAACTGACCCTAGCAGGGAGGGCAGACTGAACTAAGCTACTTCCAAATTCCAGACTCCCCAAAGTTGCTCAGACCTAACCAACAGAGCTGACTGACTGTAGTGATGAAGAACATGGGTCCTGTAACCAGGCTGCTTATATCTAAATCTAAATCTTGGTGTCATTATTTCTACCTCTTGGCATCTTCTCTAAATTGGATATTATCACCTAACTCATATGGTAGTTGAAAGTATTGACTTTTTACTGTTTGTAAATAACTTAGAATAATAATTGGTACCTGGGAAGCCCTAAATAAGTGTTTGTGAAAGCAAACAGGATTTTAACAAGAGTCTCAGACCTCCTTATGTGCAAATCAGGGTCTTCCAACATGACCTCAGAAGGTGTTTACAAGACTGTTTTCTTAAGCAGACTGAACATTGGGCACTGCAGATAGGACTGGAGCCCACCTGGGCATGAATGATCTGTGGGTCTAAATCAGTGAGGATTCTTTGCTGTGATCTCCTACCTCTGCCCAGGATGGGGAGGGGCAACTGAAGCTTTTACCCTTGCTTGACCTATGAGGCCAAGATTTGGGAGGCCTGAGTTCCACCCTCTGACTTTGCTTTCATCTGCTCTGTGACCTTGGCCCAGTACCTTGTCTTCTCTGAGCCTCAGTTTCCTCATCTATTGAATAAAGTTATGAGCTCTCTCTCCAGCCAGGGTGTTCCATGTACTGTAAAGGAGGCACCTGATCACAGAGACTTTTGTTCCAACACTGGTGCTGAGCCTAGAGAGTTTGTATCAGGCTCCACACCTTCAGGCCAGTGACTTGGACTCTAAGGCCCCAGTTTCCTCATAGAAAAAAAAAAAACAGATAATAAAGCCCTTTTCTGAGGAGCTGGGCCAATGTTCAGGAAGGTGCCCTCTGAGAGGAGGACAAGGACAGAGGGGAGGATCACTGTGCCCACTATCTCCCACAGGCGCTGGCCCTATGGCTCAGATGGCTGCCAGGCTCACGGCTTCCAGGGGTTTGCAGCAGCATTGGCCAGCATCAGCAACAGCGCAGCCATTGCTTGGGGGAGCTATCATCATTACTGCACCGGTATGTTTGGGGCTCCCAGGGTGAAGGGACATCAGTGCGGTGAGGGTGGTTGGGATGAAGATCTGCTCAGTCTCCCAGTTCAAGGGAGTATGGGTGGCAGTGAGTGTGCAGGAATGTGGGGTATGGGCAGTCGGGAAAATAGGAAGGCTGGGAGAGTGCAAGAAGAGTGCTGAGACATGGGATGGAATAGCTGTAGCCTCAGGCAAGTCACGGGTCCTCAATGAACCTTAGTATTTTCCTCTGTGAGATGGTTTTCATGACCAGCCTCACAGTTTTATTCTGAAAATCAAATGTGATCATGGATGCAGAAAATGTCCTTGAAGATAGGCACTGTTAGGGGGCAGAGAGGTGATATCGCGGGGCTAGGCATGTGCCCCCACACTTCACACTTCTGAGGAACCTCTGCCATGCCAGAGCTTCATGAAAACCAGTCTAACTCTGGATTTCCCAAGTTGTATTGTCAAATATCATCTTCATAAATGGCCCTATCAGAGTACCACCTGTTGTTATCTACTTGATATTTCTTTCTTAGAAGTAACTCACTTTAGAGATTTTAAACACCTGCTTCATTCTTGTTCTAAACCGTATCTGTGACATCACAGCTTTAATATTCTTTTTTAAAGCATTTTTATTGATTATGTTATTACAGTTTTCCCAATTTTCCCCCTTTATCCCCCCTCCACCTGCCCCCCCAACCCTCCAGCATTCCCCCCACCCTTAGTTCATGTCCATGGGTTATACATATAAGTTCTTTGAGTTCTCTGTTCACTATACTATTTTTATCTCTCCTCAACTATTTTATGCCTACTAATTATGCTTCTTCCCTGTAACTTTTCCCCCTATTCCTCCCTTCCCCCTCCCCTCTGAACTCCCTCTGTGTGATGTCCATTTCTCTGGTTCTGTTCCTGTTCTGGTTGTTTGCTTAGTTTTTGTTTTCATTGTTTTTCTTTTCTTTTAGGTTCATTTGTTAATAGTTGTGACTTTGTTGTCATTTTATTGTTCATATTTTTGATCTTCTTTTTCTTAGATAAGTTCCTTTAACATTTCATATAATAAGGGCTCAGTGATGATGAACTCCTTTAGCTTGACCTTATCTGGGAAGCACTTTATCTTGCCCTTCCATTCTAAATGATAGCTTTGCTGGATAGAGAAATCTTGGATGTAAGTCCTTGCCTTTCATTCAAATACTTCTTTCCAGCCCCTTCTTGCCTGTAAGGTTTCTTTTGAGAAATCAGCTGACAGTCTGATGGGAACTCCTTTGTAGGTAACTGTCTCCTTATCTCTTGCTGTTTCTAGGATTTTCTCTTTGTCTTTAATTTGGGGTAATTTAATGATGATGTGCCTTGGTGTGTTCCTCTTTGGGTCCAACTTCTTTGGGACTCTCTGAGCTTCCTGGACTTCCAGGAAGTCCATTTCCTTTGCCAAATTGGGGAAATTTCCCTTCATTATTTGTTCAAATAAGTTTTCAATTTATTGCTGTTGTTCTTCTCCTTCTGGCACCCCTATAATTCAGATATTGGAGTGTTTCAGGTTGTCCCAGAGAATCCTCAGCCTCTCTTCATTTTTTTGGATTCTTGTTTCTTTGTTCTGATCCAGTTGGATATTTATTTTTTCCTTTTGTTCCAAATCATTACTTTGAATCCTGGTTTCCTTCTTGTCACTGTTGGTTCCCTGAATATTTTGCTTTATTTCATTTTGGGTATCTTTCACTTGTTCTTTCATTTTTCGACCAAGCTCAGTGAGTTTTGTGAGCATTTTGATGACCAGGGCTTTAAATTCTCCATCAGATAGGTTGGTAATCTCCTCATCACTTAGTTCTGAGGTTTTTCTGTGTTCTTTCATTTTGGCCATATTTCTTTGTCTTGGTGCAGGTGATGATAGGTTGTAAGGGGGTGGGGGTGGGGCCTTAGGTATTCACCCTGGCAGGGCAACCCTCTTTGCTCTCTGCCTGTGTGGGAGGGGCCAGAGTGGGAACAATGCAGCTTGACTGCTCTTTTCTAACACACTTTCCAACAGACTGTCATGTCAAACTGGAAGTATCTCTCACCTCGGCAGCCCCAGCCTTAGCCCACGGTCAGCTCTGAGTCTGTGTTCCCCTTAAGTCAATCCCTCCCACACAGCTCTGCGGAGCTCTGCAGTCAGCCCCTCCCCTCAGCCGCCTCACTGTGGTTTTTCTGAGTTGGCCCTCCAGGTCTACCTTACCAGTCTGGTTTTTCTGTTTGTTTTTTTCTTTAATTCCTTGGTTGTCAGAGTTTCATGCAGTTTGATTTTCTGGCAATTTTGGTTGTTTATTGATTTGAGATTGGTTGTTATGCTCCTTTTGGTTGTGCGAGGAAGCAAAGCATTTCCACCTACACCTCCATCTTAGCCAGAACTCCTACAGCTTTAATATTCTTATGATTTTAATACACATTAATATAAAATACATGTTCGCCCATTAGACTCTCTAGAATCCCACTCACCACCTGGGTATGCCAACATACTTTGGGGAGCTGTGGCTCAGCTAACATTCACAGCATAACCTCCAGCTTGCGGACTGGTAAGCAGAGGTGCAGACAGGTTAAAGAGCTTGTCTAGGGAGGGTCACACAGCTGATAAGGGCAAAGCTGGGTTTGGGCATGGCCTGGGTGCCTCTACAGGTAGTCTCTCCCTTTGTCTCCTGGGCTCCAAGTGTGGAACCAAGGGTGTGCCTGGTATGGATGCTATTGTGGGGCCCAAGGTCAGCATGGCCTGAAGTCTTGGGCATAGCTCCTTTGGAATCATAGGTCTGTCATTGCCACAGACACACACACACAACCCCTCGCCCTTGGCAAAGTTACATGCCTCTCTCCAGGCCAAAAAAATTGCCTTTGTTCTCGCAGGTTAGCCCCTCCTGTCCCACCTGACCTTGGAGCTCCTCTCCCACCACTATCCCAGCCCTGCCCCTCAAACTCCCTCAGACCATCTCACACATGCACAGACTCTCACACATACACACACACATGCAACCTTCTCAGACAGTAACAGGCTTCTCTGCCTCAATATAGAGCAGTTAACCCCTGTTCCAGGGGTTCCTAGACCAAAGCCCTTCCTGTTCTGGATGGCATGGCATGGTACCAAAACAGGGAAGAGAGGAGAAGGGACCTGGGTTCATCTGCTTTATTACTGGATGACCCTAGGTATGTCACCTTGGTCATCTGTTTCCAAAGCCAAAAAAATTAATGCAACACATTAGTAACACAGCAATTAATATGGTAGGGAGAGGGGCTTACTACCTAGGAAAACACCATAGACTGGGTACCTTAAACAGCAGAAATTCATCTTTCACAGTTCTGGAAACTGGAAAGATCAGGGAGCCAGCACATTTGGGTTCTGGTGAGAGCTCTCTTCCTTGTTTGTGGATAGCTGCCTTCTGGCTGTGCCCTCACTGAAAGGAAAAGAGATCATCTCTCTCATGTCTCTTCTTATAAAGGTACTTAATCCCATCATGGAGGCTCCAATCTCATGACCTAAGTACCTCCCAAAGTCCTCCAACCCCAAATACCATCACGCAGTGCTTAGAGCTTCAGTATATGAATTTAGAGTGGGAGGACATAAACATACAGTCCATAGAAGGAGGACACATCCAAGCAAAGTCCTTCTGGGGCTGTCTCAGTGGAATCAAAGTGTCAGGGTAAGGGGGCTTGTAGGCCTCTTCTCTACTGGTCAAACCCCATCTGGAGTCTTGTCCATTATCCTGGAGTCTTTTTTTTCTTGCTTTAAAAAATGTATGTTTTATTGATTATGCTATTACTGTTATCCCAATTCCCCCCCCCATTTACTCTCTCTGCCTCATACCCCCATTCCCTCCAGCAATATTCCCTTAGTTCATGTCCATGGGTCATACATATAAGTTCTTTGGTTTCTCCATTTCCTATACTTTCCTTAACATCCCCCTGTTTATTTTGCACTTACCAATTTATGCTTCTTAATTCTTTCACCTTTCCCCCCATTCTCCCCCTTCTCTCTCCCAGCTGATAACCTCCTGAAGTCTGGTCTACAAAGGAACATGACATAAACCATGGACAGAGAAGGCATCTGGGAAAGGCATTCTGAAGTGAGATCCAGGAAGAATCACTGGATGAGAAGGGCTGGGTGAGGCTGTAAGGAATATAGGCAGAGGGATTGTGGAGGAGGTCAGGTCAGTGAGACTGGTCACACCAAAAAAAAATGGTGTCAGGACCTAGCCTCTGCCAGTGTCACAGAGATGGAGCTCCAAATCCCAAGTCAAGAGTTCTCAAAGAGTATCCTGAAAGCAAAGACAGTGATCTGATTCTGAGTAAGAGCAGAGATGGTGCTAAGTCCAGATTCCACTTTCCTCTCCCAATGGCCCTCACCTGAACCACTGTCCATGTTTCTGTACTAACTTAGCTTGGGTAGCACACCTGTCTCCATTCTCTGTCCTCTAAAGAAGATGGTATAGAGTGTCTACTCGGAGATCTTCCCATCTATTATCTCTCTTATTCTTCATAACAATCCTCTAAGTAGGAACTATTATTCCCTTTTGTGGAGAAGAAAAGTGAGGCTCAGAGAAACTCTTAACTTGCCTGAGGCACTAAGCTATTAAACATCAGAGCCAGAACTTAGGGCCATTTTGCAAGACCATGAAGTTTTTTTTTTGTTTTTTTTTATAGATAATGATTTGCTTTTATTTTTTTTATTTATTTTTTATTATTATTTTTTTTAATCATTGTTCAAATACAGTTTTCTCCTTTTTACTCCCAATCCAGTCCCCCCTCCCACCCTCACCACTTCCCTCCCATTACCACCCTCCCCTTAGTCTATGACCATGTGTCCTTTAAATTTGTTCCTGTGAACCCTTCCCAATGGCCCCTTAAATTCCCTCTTCTTTCCCTTCCGGTCACCATCAGCCTGTCCTCTATTTCAGTGTCTTTGGTTATATTTTGCTTGTTTCTTTGTTTTGTTGTTTAGGTTCCTGTTAAAGGTGAGATCATATGGTATTTGTCTTTCACTGCCTGGCTTGTTTCACTTAGCATAATGTTTTCCAGCTCCATCCAAGCTGTTGCAAAGGGTAGGAGCTCCTTCTTTCTTTCTGCTGCATAGAATTCCATTGTGTAAATGTACCATAGTTTTTTGATCCATTCATTTACTGATGGGCATCTTGGTTGCTTCCAGCATCTAGCTATTGTAAATTGTGCTGCTATGAACATTGGGATGCATAGGTTCTTTTGAATTGGTGTTTTAGTATTCTTAGGATAGAGACCCAGCAGTGGAATTGCAGGGTCAAAAGGCAGATCCATTTTTAGTTTTCTGAGGAAGTTCCATACTGCTTTCCATAGTGGTTGTACCAGTCTGCAGTCCCACCAGCAGTGCACTAGGGTCCCCTTTTCTCCACAACCTCTCCAACACTTGTTGTTTGTTGCTTTGTTTATGATGGCCATTCTGTCTGGTGTGAAGTGGTATCTCATTGTGGTTTTAATTTGCATCTCTCTGATAGCTAGCGATATTGAACATCGTTTCATGTGTCTTTGGATCCTCTGTATGTCCTCCTTGGAGAAGTGTCTATTCAAGTCCTTTGCCCACTTTTTAATTGGATTCCTTGTCTTCTTAGAGTGCAGTCGTGTAAGTTCTCTATATATTTTGGAGATTAAACCCTTGTCTGAGGTGTCATTGGCAAATATGTTTTCCCATAGAGTTGGTTCTCTTTTAATTTTGATACTGTTTTCTTTAGCTGTGCAGAAGCTTTTAATTTTGATGAGGTCCCATTTGTTTATTCTTTCCTTTATGTCCCTTGCTCTAGGAGACACGTCAGTAAAGAAGTTTCTGGGTGAAATATCTGAGATTTTCCTACCTACATTCTCCTCTAGGACTTTAATGGTGTCATGTTTTATATTTAAGTCTTTTATCCACCTTGAATTTATTTTTGTATATGGTGTAAATTGGTGCTCAAGTTTCATTTTTTTTGCACGTGGCTGTCCAGTTCTCCCAAAACCATTTGTTGAAGAGGCTATTTTTATTCCATTTTATGTTGCTGCCTCCTTTGTCAAATATTAATTGATCATAGAGGCTTGGGCTTATTTCTGGGCTCTCTGTTCTGTTCCATTGGTCTATGTGCCTGTTTTTATGCCAGTACCAGGCTGTTTTGATTACAGTAGCCTTCTAATATAGGCAAGACCATGAAGTTGATTCTTTGTCATCCTGATAGCTGTCATCTCCTTTCAACCATCCTCCTCCTCTGTCCATGCAGATAGAAGATTGGCATGGGACACGGCCATATCCTTGGTGCTCTTTGTGTGGCTATCTTCTGCCTTTTGGGCAGCACTGCCCCTCCTCGGCTGGGGCCACTATGACTATGAGCCTCTGGGGACATGCTGCACCCTGGACTACTCCAGGTGAGGTGGAAAGCTCCCTTCCATGGAAATCTTGGCTTTGAGCCCTTATGACAGCAATGTCATAGCTGAAAATTCAAATGGGGGAATGTCAACATTTGCCAGACAATCTCAGCTCCTTAGTGATGATACCCACTTGCAGGTTAACAATGGAACTGGAGAAAGACCATTATTAACACTGGCCAAGTGATGGAATTGTTATGCAAATTGAGGCAAAGAGTTGGTCACCAGAACGGGAGTCTAAGTGGTCCCATGACCACTTTGCCATCTTCATCACAGTCAACTGCCCAAGCTCTGACTTTATTAATTTCTAGAGGTATCATATCTGTCCTTGGATTAAGTAGATTCAAAGAATGTTAAGGTCTTTGCATTGGAAGGGACCTCCTTGACAAAGCATTCAGGTTTCTAAATTCCCTGGGCATCTGCTGTGAGGCAGCCCCTGGGCCAAGCTCTGGAGAGACAGCAGTGAATACATAGTGACCACACCCTCATGGGGCATGTGTTTAATACTGCCTCACCCATGGGTCTTTGGGGAGACCAGGACTTAGGGAGACCTGTTAGGGGAGGGGTCACATGGGCTCCAGGTCCCCTCTTACTTCTACTAGAACCATGTTGCTTTCATCTGCTTTACATGTTTACTCACATTTACTGATGGAGCATCTGCCCCTGATGAAAGCATCTTCCCAGGTGAAACCCATTTGGGAACCCTGGGTCTGGTGCAAGTGTCCCATCAGGGCACTCCTTGCAGATATTTTCCCAGCCTGCATCCAGTCCTTCTGACATCCCTTCTTCCCATCTATCCTTAGTGGACAGCACCAAGGTGACATGATACCCCCTTAATGAAGGGTCAGCCATTCCACCTCCTATGACCACAACAATTTCTTCATTGACACAGTGCCCAGTCTCTTCACCATCCTAGGCCCCTTTCAACCTCTGTTCCAGGAACACTCTTTGAATGTTCCTTCCTCTTGGTCCACTGACATCTCCATCTGATAAACACATTTCCCAAAGGAAAGTGTCTCGTTCTCTATGCTTGGGGCACATACAGAGCTAAGCACTTGAACTGGCCAACAGCGAGTTGAAGGAGGACCCTCCCTCACCTCAGCTGCCTGGCTCCTTAAGGCAAGTTCTAGGAGGACCTAGTGGCTCCCTGGCTCTGAATGGAGTTCAGCTGGGACCCAGGAGTGCCCACATTCTGAGTACCCACCTGATGGGAGTGACTGAGGGGCCTTCCAGGGTAGTGATCTTTATGGAGAGATGACCCTTACTACCCTACCCGCTCTGGCTGCAGAAACTTCACCAGCTTCCTGTTCACCATGGCCTTTTTCAACTTCCTCCTGCCCCTTTTCATCACACTCATATCCTATCGGCTCATGGAGCAGAAACTTGGGAAGACAGGACATCCCCAGGTAAGGTCTAACTCCTAGAGTGGAAGATATCTCTCTGTCCCACTCAGGGGCACCAGGGAACATGAGTGATGTGACAGACAGCAATCTGGAGTTTTCTGTGTTTTCAATAATTGAAGTAGATCCAGCTTTCATAGAGATGGGGAGTTAGACAAGAATGCACCCTCCCTGTGGATTGCCAAGATATGGAGGGAGGGTCAGGATGACTCAGATTCACTGACAGACACTGTGTCCCTGAGGACCAGGGGCTCTGCCAGACACCCTCCATGCTGTGACATTTCTTTCTCCCCAAGGATGAGAGTATTGGTACAAAATTACATACTTTTTAAATTCTGTTTTGAATCACTTTGATATGTTTAATTTAATCACAGGCACAGGCTGTTACCCACAATATAAAATCACACCTGCAAGCATAGTTGACCAAAAAAAGCAATACTTCAAAATCAGCCCTTCTGACCATTTTTTAATTTCTACATTAATATTCCCTTGCCACAATTTTTGTATAACTTTGTTACCTGGTTAATCTCTAGCAGATGAGTCATATAAGCACCAAAGTTTTTTAAAAACCCACATACTAATAGTACTTTATGTGAATTATGGCATTTCATTTTTGCAATCACTCTCAGAGGAAGGAAGGTTTTATTATCCCTATGTCACAAACTAGAAAATTGAGCAGGAGTGGGGTTAGCTAAGCAATTCATTAAAAGCCACAATTAGGAACAGCAGCATTGGATCAAACCTGGGTCTGGGACAATACCACCAAGTGGTCAACCATCGTGCATAAAAGAAATAATTCTCAATGAGACATTTAATCTGCCACATTATTTTTTTTCTTTGAATTGGAAAAGGACTGTCCAAATCTATTTTTCCTAGAGACCAGGCTTCCCTGGGGTCTCAGAAGGAGGATGAGGGACCTGAATCACATCCCAGGCTCCCAGTTGGGTGCTCACCTCCTCATTACCACCTGTCTGGGTGCTCAAAATCACCACATTCCTTGGAGACAAGTCTGCCACAAAATGTTCTCATTTTTCTGGGTTTACTTTCAACCATCAGTTCTGATAGCATCAGCAGAAGTTGCCATGCACTGGCCCAGGGACCTTGACTATGAGCTTAAATCACCTTCTTTGTTAAAGGAAGACATAGTCAAGAGAAAATAGACATAAATTTTTAGCGTCAGAGTTTGTCATCTGAGTGTATGTGAAAAGAAGAACATGGCAACCTCTCTCCTGAAATCAGATTGCAAGTTGAGTGCTTCCCTGTGGTCCCAGGTAGTACCACATCATCAGCCACCTGGCTGTATCTCACTCGGTGGAAAGCAGCCCCTTTGAACCCAGTATAGGTTGACCAGCCAGGTGGCTGCAGTTGCTGATGGAGAGCTGGCTCTGGGACTGAGGTGTGAGAGCAGCTCAGCCTGGGGACCCTCATGCCCATAGCCAAACTCACAGAACCCAGTACAGAAGCTCGTTATCTGTGCCTAGACCCTGCCTCCAGTCCGGTCAGGTAGTATCTGGCCATTTTACAGACAGGGTAACTGAGGTCAAGTAAGCCTAAATGACAGGCTTAGCATCATGCATCTTAAATGGCAGAGCAGTCCCTCTGGCCCCACATTCCACTCCAGGCTCAGCACCTTCCTGCAGCCTGGTCACACTGCCCAGCCCTGCTGAGTGCTTACACAGTCCCGGGGCTGTGGGGCTGCCAACCTTTGCAGCAGATCAGTGCCTCACTCCTGTGACAATTTCTCCCCAGGTGAACACCACCCTCCCAGCCAGGACACTGCTGCTCGGCTGGGGCCCCTATGCCCTCCTGTATCTGTACTCAGCCATCACAGATGTGACCCTCATCTCCCCGAAGCTGCAGATGGTACAGACAACCCAGAGCTAGAACTCTCTCCATGTTTGTGTCTCTGTTTCACCCCATCTCTCTTTCTTGCTTTACTGCCTCCATGAGTCTTTCTCTCTTCCTTTGAATACTCACAATTCACTGGGAATTTGCTTGTCACACAGGCCACATGGGGATGCTGCTTGACATTGCCTCAGCCTCATGTGAGATGACAGAGATAGACAGCCAGATGGTGAACATGCATTCTGGGACCAGGGGCTGAGACTGCGCCCGGGGAGGCATGTGTTCTCACACATCATCTAACAGTTTGTCAGGAAAGATGTAGAGGCAGCAAGACAAATGATTGATGTGTGGGTCACCGGCCAGCAGTGATCACGGAACACTGCGGATGGCTTGTCGAAACGCGAGAAAAACATACACAGAGACAACCAGGTCCTGTGGGGGAATAGGAACAGCAGGGCCACTCCTCACCTGGGGAGCTCTTGGCCACCCTCTCTCCTAGAGGGCTCCATGGCCACCATCCCTGGTGGGGAGAGCACGCCATTCCCCCCCCAAGAGGCTTTTTATTGGTTTCGTTTGCATAAGAATTCAGGTAAAAGCTCACTACTCATTATGAGGAAGTAAGGATCAAACAGTAGATAACAAGGAACTCTGAGGGTCTATTTTGAGTCAGAGTCAAAGAGCTGTAAGACTTTAAGGAACAAACTAACTTCCTCCTTGGACCCTTCTCATCAACTGAAAGCATTCTAAACAAAGCAGTTTCACAGGAATTTACATGTTCTTTCTTAGGCCTGATCACCCGGGGAATCTGCCCTTTTCAGCACAGAGCTGTACCACCCTGTCATTGTTTCAGGCTTAGGTGGAGCAAGGGAACTAAGGCAACCAAGAGATAAGGAGATTTTCTCCCCAAGGAGGAGGACTCAGGCTATGTCGAAGCCGAGGAGTGAGGGGGTCCATCACCCCCTTTTATGTAGCCCCCAAAGTCCTTTCTTGGGGGCCTCCCACATGATCGTGCCTGTCTTAGATCATTCCCCCCTTGGGGGATCTTACCCATCTTTGGCTAACTAACCAAGCTTTGGGGTTCAGTTATGAATGAAGCAGCAGAAGCAGCTCTCCTGCCAGGGAGATAAGCTTTTGTCTCCTGGCTGGCTTACGGTTCGAAGGGTGTTCCATTAGCCTTAGCCTAGGTAGGGGTTACAGCTTCTGATACCAGGCAGGGCAGTTCCCAACAAATGATTGGTGGCTTCAGGGCTCGGCAGGAAAGCTGAGGTCACCAGGTGGGGACAGGGAGAGGAGCAGAGGCTTTGAAACCTGTTTTCTGGATGTTTTTGCAACAGGTACCTGCTCTCATTGCCAAAATGGTGCCCACAATCAATGCTGTGAACTATGCCTTGGGCAGTGACATGGTCCACAGAGGAATCTGGCAGTGCCTCTCATCAAAGAGAAGTGAGCGGGACTGAGCACACTGAGCCTCTCCATAGGGCTGTTCAGATGCAGACCCACCCCTGCTACTCTGGACTGGGCTCCATGGTTGGAGGCTGCACAAGGAGTCCTACCCAGCAGCCTCAGAAGCCAAGCTCCAGACATACATCCTCCATCCCTAATGGCCCTGTTGAACCTGGCCCTAGGCTGGACACAAGAAAGGAGCTGGCCTAAGGGGCCAGAGAGACTTGAATGTTAGTCATAGCCCTCCACATAGAGGCTAGAGACCTTGGGAAATTTGTTGTTCCTGACCTTAACATAAATATATTAATATGAACTCCCCAGGGCTTTTGCAAGACTTGAATAAGAGAATGTATATGCACCATGCACACAGAAGCTGCTCATTGGAACAGAATTGTTAGAACTCAGGGTTTTACATCAAAAAGGGTAAAAGCCCTAGGTTATTTGTGGGTGCTCAACCCAGGCTGCCAGCATTCGTATGCTGCTTATTAAACTGTCATCTGGTGTAAATGACTTACTCTGCCTGTACATCTTTCCCAGCCTGTGAGATGTGATGACAGTAATGGCAACTTGAGCATGCAGAAAGGACCAGCATATCACCTGGCATGTTAAATGCTCACTGAGTATTGTCCACCAGTACCCACCAGTCAAAAACAGCTAAGCTGCATGTTGCTTAGTTGCCAACATTAAAAGGCAATTTATTTAAAACTCCAGATGTCTGAAGAGGAGGTCCCAGCAGTCTCCTCCATGGCGACAGTTTGCAGGGATCAGGGCATCTCTGCCTTTTGCCCAGGGCATGTGCTCTCCAATAGCTGCTGCTCATGCATTCCCTGCAGAGCACATGGCCATCTGGGTTTGTGACACTAACACTGGAGTCCCCATCCCTGGATGTACAACTGTTCCCCCCAGAGTCAGCACTTCAAGGACAAGGTTCACAGATGAGGGTAGGACTCGTTGCCATAGAAGAAGATGGAGATGGTTGGCAGGGTGATTAAGGGCTCTAACACAAGGTCTGATGATAGAGGGGCAGCTGTCCCAAGCACCATGGAGGCAGGAAGGATAGAGCTGAAGAGGAAAGAGACAAGCCCTCAGAGCTGGGGCATGGGATGGTCATGAGAACAGCATCTGGGGTCTCTGGGCACCAGGACCTGACTCTTGGTTTTGCAGATGCAGAAAATCAGGTCAAATCAACGTAATTCATGAGAAGTCCACATAAAGCCAAGACCAGTCCAGTCATTTTGAAAAACAAGGGCAGGTGAGAGGAAGCAGCCTTCCCACAGCAGTCTTTTCTAGACCATACCCTATGCCGAATGCTATGGAGACAAGATGCCACTCAGCCTCACTCCAGCACTCACACACGGTTCTTGTCTTAGGCCCTGGAGTGGAACCAGCAGAGAAAATCCCAGGCCTGAGCTGTGCTCACACACTGGCTGTTTGGGTAGCCAGGGAGATAGTGGAGTTCAGCAATCAGAGTTGCTGATCCTGCCCCCACAGCCCATGGATCCTTAAATTGTCTTAATTGGAGAGCTGACCTCCACTCCACCATTCGACATACCCCACTAAGATAGGACAAGGAAACTGAGAAGAGAAGGGAGATGAACCCAGACTCACAGAAAGGGTGGAAGATGAGAGAGGCTGGTGACATCCAGCATAATGGCCAATGTCACCAAACACATCACACCCCAACCTGCACTCGAAAGAGAGATGGGGAGAGAGGGAGGTGGGCTGGGAGTAATCAAGGACACCTTTAGCCCCAGCCCAAGTCTATGTGGAGCTGGAAGTGGTGGCATCTCCATGCTGGACTGGATCAGCAGGAGATGAGAAGGGCTGATATGGTGCCCCATAGGTTGGGGGAGATCCTCAAAGCCTGAAGCCATTTATTTAAGAAGTTCCAAGTCTACCCAGACCCTCGCTTCTCATTTATAAAGTGGGTTTAGGGAGCCTCGTTACCATTGGGTATTTTCCAAAGTACTTTCAGGATCTAAAGTCACTTGTGGACACTATGCACAGGGCCTCTCCTCTGCCTACCAGCCCACCAGCCCTCCAGCACCCCTGCCTCAACCTTTCATGGAGCAGCTCAGCAGCAAGGACAAGAGAGGTGGCTGAGTCTTGTCTGAGACCCACCTTTCTGTGAGCCCTTGGTAGAGTCTCTGGGCTGGGAGAGGAATCAGAGCCACCAGTCCCTGGATCTCACCCATCTCCTGTCACAAGGTAGAGCACAGCCCCCAAGGCCTGGCACCTCCTGAAGCTCCCTTTGCCCTGTGTGGCCCTGGTACCAGATCGCAGCCCTCAAACTGTCTACAGCGAACATGTACCACTTCTACAGTCAGAAAAACATGCTCATATGTGAAGTAAGGGGTTACTTCTGCTTCCTTGGAGCTTTTTTTTTCCTGGACCCTTCTGTTGGTCTGATTTTGGTGACCCTCTCCACCATCACCCTCACTTTCCTGCCCACACTCAGGCTCCTGTTTCTTGGGCACCCCACATCTCTCCCCTCCATTCATTCCTGTGTCCCCTAATGCCACATAGGAAGGATAGTTAAGGATAGTGTCTGCTCCCCAGCCAACAGACACAATGCACTTGGGGAGTACACACCAGCATGGTCCTCTTTCCCACACCATCAATCACTAGGGCCACCATGCTGTCCCTAAGTTCTCCAAAAGTCAGGAGAACTAAGGCCAATGGTGGGTGAGGAAACCAGAACCCCGAGGAACCAGGAAAGGAGGGTGAAAGCAACAGAGACTATGGAGCCTGGTCAACAGACCTGAGAGCTCAGGGCATCTTCAACGGGGCCTGGGAATCAGCCCTGCCTTTGCCCCAGGCTTCACCAGTACTCCAGGTGTATTGGCCTCGGCCCATTGTGTGCCACCAAAGAATCCGGAATGGATTTGGAAAAGGCCACCATAAAGCAGGTGAACAACCAGAACCAGGTGCCAGAAAACAATTAAGCAATCACTTCCTCATTTGTAGGTGAGCATCCATTTGACCCCTAACCCCATCTGTGCCCTTTGGTCTTGTTCATCCACTCATTCAATGTGCCTTTAATGAGCAGCTACTGTGTCAAGCTGCTGTGTTGATGGGATGATGCAGGGCCAAGACGCTTTCCAGTTTCCTCAGGAAGAATTCATGGCCCCTTTACCTCTTCATGGCATTTGTGAGTAAAAAGTTGGTGCTACCATGGCTCCAAAGTCAAAAGGAGAGATTAAGGTAGAGTCATGTCCAAGTGCCATTAGCCACAGTATTGATAGTAAGGGTGATCGAGATTGCTTGAAAGTTTCCATCAGAATTTCTCCAAGTCTTTACCTCAAAACTAAACTCTTCTGCCTCTTTGCAGAGAAATGAAACATGCCTTTGGAGCTTCACTGTGCATTTGGTTTAATCATGTGTTTCAACAGAACTGTCCCCCACTGACCTTCAATGCACAGTGCCTTCAGTCCCATTCTGGATTTTTTAAAAAGTTTCTTTGGTTTGACTTGATAACCTAAATGCCATCATTATTTTTCACAGTAACAGCAGCGGGCCCCGGGCATGCACCTGTGTGTCATGACCAGGCTCCAGCCCTGCCAATGCCTCCCTAGAGGCTGCAGTGAGTCAGGAGCTCTCTGTGGTCCATCCTTTCCCTCTCCTCAGTCTGAGTGGGCTCCGACAGGGCAGAAGGTTTTCAAATGCCATCAGAAGTCTAACTCTTTTTAAAAAAGAGGTTTGTTATGAATTTGATATTTGAGTCCTCCCAGGATTTGAATGTTGAAGAGTTGAAGCCCTAAATCCCAGTGTGACTACATTTAGTGATGGGGCCTTTACAGAAGATTAAAATTAAGTAAGATCTAAGGATGGAGCCCCAGTCTCATAGGATTAGTATCCTTCTGAGAAGAGACACTACAGAGTTCTCTCTCTACTCACGTGCACTAAGGAAAGGCCATATAAGGACACAGTGACACGGCAGCCATCTTCAAGCCAAGGGGAGAACTCTCACCAGACACCAACCCTTCTGGCACTTTGATCTTGGACTTTGACCTCAGAACTACGAGGCAATCCATTTCTGTCATTTATGGACCCAGCCTGTGGTGCTGTTGTTATAACAACCCCAGGGGACTAGCACAATGTTACAACAAAGCTCCTTGCTTAGAACAGATGACAGACTAGGGGATGGAGAGCCCAGCTGGTGCCACTGCCCCCGACATCAGAGTACTCAGTGTCGTTTCTGTAGAACCCCGAGTTTGTATGAAAACCAATTTAAAAGGCACAAACTTTGTTTTCTAAGATTGCCTCCAATTCTTGGACCCACTGATTTCAGTTTATTTAGATCTCTAGCAAAGAAATATAAGTACAATAGAATAATACCCCCAACTCACCCCATCGTCTTGCTGGGAAGATGACTCTGCCTATTGACAAATGTACTTGAATTAAAGTCACAAATACAGTAGAAAGCTGTTTCTGAGGCAAATAAATAGAAGATCCCTGCCCTCCTCCCCAAGATCCCCACTGAGACAGTTTTCTGGGGGAGGAACGTTGCTGTGTGCTTGCCTGATTAGCAGAAAAAGGAAATATAAATTAATTATAGCCTAAATTATATTCTCTCTTAAAAGTAAGGATATTTTGCAAATTTTCCACATAAATAAATAAATTCAACATCAAGATGCCTAATTTGTTTATCTCTTTGTCTTTTCCACAAAATTGATAGGATTTCTGCTGTTTTCCCTGTCAGAGACACTCCTAGTTCAATTTGCTCAAGCACAAGCTCACACTACCTCCTACCAAACTGCCTCCCGTCTTGTGTCCCCTCTATCAGTAAATGTCATCACTATGTATCCTGTCATATAAGGTAAGTGAGGAAAAAAGGAGGGAATAGGGGAAGCAAATGTCTATTACTCATAATCGTCTACCTGGCAGGTTAGGACAGCACAGGCTTACCTTCTACCACAAGGTGGCAGTGCTATCTCAATGATGAATTCTGCCTGGGCCTTCAGCCCCGGAGGTGCCCTTCTGAAGAGCCTGGAAGTTCCCTGGCAACGCTGCGTGGGTGAATTTTTTATTTCAACAGAATCTCAGACAAGCTTTCTTTCCTGCTTTTGATGCAGCATCCTGATGGCTAGCTGTTTTGTACCTCAAATGAATTATGTGATTCTACACCTCTTCTTGAAGGGAGCAGAATTGCATGCCCTTCTGCCAGGACTCCCAGATAGCCCAGAGAGTTCCCCTTTCCTCTGCCTGTAGGATGGTCACTGAAAGTCTAGTAGATACAAACTCCTCCCATCCAAGTACTAACCAGGCCAGACCCTGCTCAGCTTCTGAGATCAGAAGACATCTGCGTATTCAGGGTGGTTTGGCCATAGACTAGATGTAAACTTCTAAAGCCTTCCTGCACGTGGGATTTGATTAGAAGGTGTGGATCTGGGTTTTGCCTCTCTAATCATGAGAAGTTGGGGCAGTCCCTAAATTTTTCTGACTTGGGTTGTTAATCTGGAAACTGGAGTGATAGCACCTTTTGCTGATATTACATGTGGGAGCACACTAAACCATGGGGTGCAGAACAGGAAGGCTTTCCCAGTACTGTGCCAAAGAAGCAGCTGAACCTCAGCGGATATGCCATAAATGGCATTTGGTGATGGCAACAATTCCAAGATAAAGAATTTGGAAAAGCCCTGGGTGAAGGCCAAAATTATAATCCCTCAATTTTTCCTCTCATCCTGGTTGAGGTAACTTGCTGCTCCTGGCTGAAGATGTTCCTGGCCCTGACACCACCCACCTGTCCTTCCTTCCATCCACACAGCTGCTCTTATAATGGCCTCCACTGTCTCCCTGCAGGGCACCCTCAGCCCAGCTGCCCTTCCCTCTGCAGCTGCTGAAACACACATCCGTCCTTTGCTCTTGTTGGTGAGAGACAGACAGCATAGCAGCTTGGAAAAGCACTTAGGACTGAGTACTGGAAAGACCTGGGCATGAATCCAGAATCTGCCCTTTATCAAGTATGAGGCCAAGTTTGAACAAGTTTCTTATTTCTGAATTCGTTCTAGGCTCACCAAAATGGACTCATTGGGATGGCATATTTTAAAGCACATGGCATGTAGTGGGTGTTCAAAAATATTAGATTCCCTCCATCGATGTCTACCTCATTTAATTCTCCACAGCATTCTCAAACTTGTCTGGGGCCGGGTGATTCAGAGTGGTCCCTGGACCAGAAGCATCAGCCTCACCTCACCAGAGTGCTTGTCAGAACCGCATTCTCAGCTCTGCCCAGACCTTTTGAATTCAGATGTGTTTTTTTAACTACCAGCACCTCTGCCCACGCCCCACCACCACCCAGGGGACTTTTGTGCGCAGTAGAGCTTGAGAAGCACAGCAGAGCTTTTCTGATGTCTGAGTCCCTCCCACAGAGACTCTGGTGTAACTGGTCTGAAAGGTTGGCTAGGGTGGGGACTTTTAAAAGCTCCCAGGTGACTCTAATGTGTGGCCAAGATTAGGAACCACTGATTTTGGGGAAACAGAGGTGTTAAAAAAACTTCTGTTTTATGAAGAACGATTTAGGTAAAATTTACTGTGAGTCATCTCTGAGGTCAATCTTTGCTGTTTTTATACATATACATATATACACATACACATATGCATATACATTTCTCTCTAGAAATCCATTTCTTTTTTAATGCACCTGCATGTCATTATATGGTTTGTTTGAATCTTCTTTTAGTAATTCCTCAAATCCCAAAGATGAGCAGGACAGCACCAGACCAAGGCTTTTTGTTTTATCGCCATGACACTAATTATAAGATAATAGGGTCAGATCTTATAAGTGATGGAGAGACTAAGGCATAAAGAGGTCAAACATACTCACTTAAGGTCATACAGTACATGAGGAAGCCTAGCTCCTGACTTCCAGTCCAGAGATTTTTGGGTGTCAGTGTGGGCAGTGCATATCCAGGTATTAGACAGCCAAGATCTCAAAACGTAAGGTACACACAAATTGTTTGTTAAGTACAGGGTCCAGTTCAGAGTCTGGCTGGGGTGGGGCTCAGATTCTGCATTTCTAACCAATTCCCAAGTGAAGCCAAGAGTACTGAAGCTGTGATGTATGTGGCCACAGCAGTGCACTGTGACTCATGGTCCCAGTTGCCTGGCCTTCACTTCCCAGCAGCTGACTGAGGTGTTCATTCAGTCTCTTCACCTGTCCAGCGATTCAGACCAATGTTTGAATGCATCATCAGGCTGCGGAGATCCCCGACCTCCATGGCAGGCCTCAGCCTACCACTGGGTGGCACCCTGGGACACCTCCCTAGGAGATTTCAAGTTGCTGAAATGGTCTTTCATGTTCATTCAAAAATATTTATTATGCTAAGTGAAATAAGCCAGGTGGTGAAAGACAAATACCATATGATCTCACCTTTAACAGGAACCTAATCAACGAAACAAGCAAGCAAAATATAACCAAAGACACTAAAATTGAGAACAGGCTGACAGTGACCAGAGGGAAGAGGGGAGAGTATTATAGGGGAAAAGGGTGAAGGGTTTACAGGAACAATTATAAAGGACACATGGACAATAACAAGGGGGGGTTGTGGAAACAGGGGAGGGAGGTGGGGAGGGCTTGGGTGGTGGGGACGGGTGGGGGGAAAAGGCAGAAAACTGTACTTGAACAACAATAAAAAATGTTAAAAAATATTTATTGGGCTTAATTTTGAGTCAGGGTGCATTTTAAACAAGACATTCAAGGTCCTCGTGAGCAACTTACTTTCTAGTGAAAATAAACAAGTGCATAAAATATATCATTACAAATGATAATTAAATGCTCTGGTGGAGATAAACAATGGATAAGATAGGAAGTAACTGGGAGAGGTGGTCAGTAAAGACATCTCTAAGAAGGTGGTATTTGAGTTGAGACTTAAAGGATGAGAAGAAGGCAGTCGGGTGGAAAGCAAGGTTGAAGAATTCCAGGGAGAGGGAACAGCAAGTGGGAAAGAGCTTGGCTGTCCAAGAAACATAAAGATTCATAATGGTAAAAGCAGATGGAGTCAAGGAGAAGCCATAGGAAATGAAGGGGCCACTTTCAGCAGGAATATGGCGGGTAGGGGAGGAGGGTGATATGGAAAAGGGGTTACACTTTATTTTAAGAGAAAGCAAAAGCATTTGAAAGGATTTAATCAGGAAAATAACCAGGTCTGATTTGCATTTTTAGCTGATCATTTTAGCTGCCGGGTGGAGATTACACTGGAGAGGTCGACATTGCAAGTAGGAAGGTGAAATAGGATTGTTACAAGAGTCCAGGCTAGAGTTCTGTTGCTTTGTACTAGGACAGCGATGGTAGTGGCTATGGTGGTGGAAATTGAGAAGCTAACAGATATGGTATGTGGTTCTGGAAGCAGATACAACAGAACTTGCTAGTGGTTTCAATAAGTTTTTCAGTTTGGATGCTTTTTATTTTAGGAAACAAAATAGTATACACAATGTTAACTACCTTTAGAAAATAAGGGCAACTTACAGACACAAAAAATGGTGAGATATATGCAGGTTTCAGGCAAGGTTTGATCAGGGCTCTAGCTTTATTTTTCTATGATTCTCAGTCCTGCCCCATTTATTCCCTACACTCTCTGTATCCATTTATCCTTATGGTGACTTCATACATAGTTGTAAGAGGGCGTCAAGAGCAAGATGTGTACATAGTCGCAAGATATCTCCATTCATGTGGAGGAGGAAAAAGCATCATTTCCAACAATTATAAAAGAAACACATCGATGTTGGGATTGATCGAGCCATCTATGAACAAATCCTATTGCCAGGAGAATGAATCAGATAGTTGGCTTAATAACCCCACTGTACATCAGTTGTCAATGAACTCATTAGCTTAAAGTGGAGTTACTAGAAATAATCACCAGAAGTAAGAGGATGAGATTACCTTAATGGCTTGAACCAATGAGGGTATAGGTGTAGTCAGTCCCAACCAAATGGTGTAAGTGCTACATATTGAGGAAGAAAAGCATAGATGTTGAGCAAATCATGTGAACTATAAGAGATTTGAAGCATGGAAAAAGGATGACAGGTAGGGTTTTGGAATTCTCATATGCTTAGAGGGGGATATATACAGATGCTTCTTAGATACTCAAGTATCTGAGTCCAGTGAGCATTTGGAAATATGAGCAGGAGCTAAAGGAAATTACCCTGGGTGGAATCATTCATATCACATGGCATCCTCTAGGTATGGGACAGAATGACATCTCCTATCCACTAGCACAGACTCTCCTTGATAGTCCAGAAATCAGCAGAAGGAGAAGGGTGGTCTAGGATTCTGATGAGAGGTTCAGGGTTAGGATTGTCCAAATCAAATAAAGCCATGAGCATCAGTATTTTGCTACTAAGGGAATAAATGGAGGATCTTAGTGGACATGTGAATTAAAGAAAATTGGAGTTAAAAATCTTTTTCACATTTCTTATTCCAGTGATCCTTAGAACAGTCAAAGCAGAAAAGTAGAAAGGTGATTTGGAGTCCCTCTTGTTTCAGTGAAAAAAACTGAGATTGACACAAGTTAACTGATGAGACCAGAGCTATGTTTGAACCCCATCC